CTCTGGGGCCACCGCCCCCTCCACCCCGCCCCGCTTCACCCGCTTCGCGCGACTCAGCGCCCGCGATGGGTGGTGCTGAAGGAGGGGCCGACGCCTAATTGGGCCGCGGGCGGTAGGGCTCCGCCCACTCATAGGGGCGGGATAGAGGGGGCGGTGCCACGGAGAGGAGGACCAGAGCCAGCACAGGAAGGGAGAGACTGAGGGAGCGACAGAGATTCGGAAATGAGATAGGAGCCAGAGTCTGGAAAAGAGGCTCCCATAGGGAAAAGGAGAACAGGGACCAAAGAGCGAATAGAAGAGAGGGCCACCAGGAAATCTAGAGAGAGCTGGAGGGACTAGGAAGGAGAAGCCTCGAGGGTTGGCTACGAGGAAAACCGAGAGGGACAGGAGACGAGAGGGGCCACTGTCTGCAGGGGGGCGGAGGCAAGGAGGAGCACCCCGGTCTGCTGGGGACAAAGAGAGGGGCTGAGGGAATGCTGGAGCGGGAAGCAAAAAGGACGAGGAGGAGGGTGATGAGGGGGGAAAGGCAAAAGGAGGATGGGGAGGGGGGCATCCTGCACTCAAGCCTTTCAGATCGCCTGTCGGGGAGATCCTGGGGAGATCATACTGTCAGGGTGCCTAGCGGGATCCCGGTACTGACAGCAGCCGCTCCCTCCTTTTTTTCTGGCTCCGGGCTGTTCCCTGACCCACCTTCCTCCCCACCCAGGGGCCAGAATCTTCTGCCTACTCCTCCTCTCCTCTTCCCCTTTCTCACCAAGCTCCAGTCCAGACCAGGCTGCTTTATCCTGGAGGTGGAGTCTCCTCCATCTTCCTCTGATCACTCCCCTTATCTATGCTTTTAGACAGCGGAGAACTGGGGGCCTTGAGAAAGTGGGAACCCCCACGTTATTTCTCCTTTCTGATCGGTACAAACATATCCCTAGGTGGCGGTCCCCTTTTCCAGCCTCCAAGAGGAGGAGGGGTTGTGTTCACCCAGCCCCTCAGCTCCTTCTCCCCACCCCAGGCTTCTCAGCAGGCCCCTAACTCTTCTTCCTATCAGGTTGCATGAGGCAAATCCTCTTCCCCAAGTGCAGCAAAGTGTTTAGGTTGCATAAACTGAGCTGTGTCTGCTTCCATAAAAGTATTTGTCACATTATTGGAGACCCAGCTCCACTGCTCCTCCTTCCCCCTCCTTTAACCCAGCCCACCAGGGAGGGCTCTGCCTTTTGCCATGGCTAAAGGATGCCCCTCCAGCCTCTTTCTTTTCTCCTGAGAGGTACCCTCCCAGCTCACACTCTCCTCTTGCTGACCTGTCGTGGGGTCCTTATGACGCCCTGACTTTCTCCAACCAAGGTTGGGATTGCTGAACCCCATCCAGAGCTGGGAGGAGGAAGGGGGCAGCAGGATATCCAGTGGTGAGCTGTAAGAGAGGACTTTCCAAGCGCTGACAGCTGAGCCGGGGTTAGAATGACCCCCACTGCCAAGGAGGGAGCCAAAACAATTCAATAAATAGCATTTCTTCAGGGCTTACTGTGTGCCAGGCCCCGTGTTGAATGCTTTAGATACGCGGTCACACTTGATCTTCACATCAATCCATAGAGGTAAAGCCCATCATTGTCCTCATTTTACAGACGGAGAACTGAGGCTCTAGCAGATTAAGAGATCTACCAGAAGTCACACAACTAAAAATTGGCAGAACCAGGATTCAAACTCGCAGCCTGGCTCCACACCATTAGGTCCCTAGGCGCTTTCCATTGCCCAAAGGGAAGAAGATGTCAAGTGCAGGGGATGGAGGCTCCCCAGGCTCAAAAAGAGCAGTCCTCAGCTCTCAGCTGCCAGTCCGGCCTCCTGACCCCCTCCGCGGTCTCCCCCAGTATGACTCCTTGAAGAGCGACAGGGCTCGTGACCCGAGGGACAAGGGCGCGGTAATTAGTGTATGATTGTGCAGCCTCCTCCCCCTAGTTCGCACGCAAACGGGTCCCTCTTTAGCTAGGCTGCTGGTACTCGTCCGCCCCTCGCAGCCCTCCCAGAACCCGCCAGGGAAACTGCAGCTGGCCGCCCGAGGCTGAGAAGGGGCGGGAGCACCCACCACCCGCACTCGCCCGGGCGTCCAAGGCCCCCCGCCCCGAAAGAGCGCCCGCTCCCCTGGCGCGATGTGGCGTCTCTGTCAGCCCAGCCGGATTCTCCCCGCTTCGCTGGAGTGGAAAATAAAGGCTTCAAACTTTGCAGAGAGGAGCTGGTGCCAGCACTTTAATTAACAACCATCTTAGCCTGTGAGCCTGGGCCACCAGCCCGCGCCTCCCCGGGACTCGCCAGGCCCCGCCCCTGCCCCGCCCAAGTTCCGAAGGACGTGTACCCCAGCCGAGGCTCTCGGCGCCCCTTTTCGGAGGGAGATGAGGGCCTGACTGAGGGGGACGAGTGCTGCCTTGGAGGGCGTCTTCCCAGCTTAACACCTGAGGACCCCAAGCCTTCCCACCCTACTCACCCATCCCAAATTCTCTAAAACCTGGTAGTTGAAGATTCTGGAATTAAAAAGCTGCGTGCCAATCCCACCTGGTGATTTTAGGCCAGTCACCTAACCCGCTGCGCCTTAACTGTCTTCCGCTGGAAAAAGGGTTGTTGTGAGGATTAAATGAGATATAATGAATGGAAAATGCTGGGTTCAGTATCTGATCCGTATAATGCACTTAATAAATGGTGACTAATAACATTATTCCACTTCAAGGCTAAGAAGGCCCTTCCATCACCCCAGGCCTCGGATCTCCTTCTCTCGCCTTTTTCTTACAGACTTCTGAGCCTGGCATTAGCAGAGGAGGACAATGGCTTATACTGCCAGGTTGAGAGACAGGACTAGATGAGTGAGGAAGGAAGGCGGGAGTT